GCACATGATACACGTATGAGTCTTATTTTTTATTAAAAAAAGAATTTTTTTCACAATAAATAAGTGTAAAAGAGATATCGGCAATTTTGTATCAGATATCTTTCAATTAATGCGCGTTGTCATATGTATATAAACAGCTTAAACATTAGTACGCATCAAGATATATTTTATGAAATTTACATGTATATTTCGAAAATTAACATAGCTTTGAGCATGCCTAATTGCAAAATTACACCGCAGTTCTCGTACATATTATATAACTTATTTGACAATTAGTACTAAATGTATTCGCATAAAGTTCAATGGTAAAAACGACTTCGATAACTGCACGCGTTTTAAAAATTCGCAACTTTTGAAATAAATTTCAAAAACAGTACTTCATCAGTTTTTTATGAATAATGTGAAATTTTACTTATCGTTATGTGAGTATATATGTATTCTTGTAATACTTCATTAACTATTTACATTAATTTCAATTCGATTAGTTTATATTAACAAAAGTTATATAAATTTTTTAATTTGCATGTAAATGAGTGATCAAATATCATCACTATTAACACTAATATTGATATTATAATACTAAAATTGATTTATAATTTATATATAGTAACTGCTGCGAGCCAAACGAGAACAGAATTGACACATTAACTCGGTTTATTTAAACAGATGTAAAACGAAAATATACAAACGAATAATTTTATTAATGTAGATAGATTAACACTTTTATTACATATAAACTTTGCTAAATAATCGAATTATAATTTTATTTTTTATTATATTTTTTTCTGGATTTAATTTATTAAACAAAGTAATATGAAATATTTGATATTTTATGTCTAATTATATTTCATTACTCACATAATTTATAAATAATAAATAATTAATAAATGCATCAAGCAAAGCTTTTAATGCGAAAATCTGCGCAACGTACACATGTACGATGCTCCTGAAAAGTAATTTATTTAATTAAGTATCGTAATTTTTGAGAAATTTCAATTAGAATATTTTTTTCCGATGATTTTATTAAATTTCCAAAAATAAATTGTAATGCTAGTCTAATCTTACTATTTATTTAATATTTTGTTTTTGTTATAATTATAAAGAAAGAAATTTTTTGAAAGTCAATTTTATAAATAATTCTCTTGAGCAATTATAGTTTTGCAATTTTTATTGTTATCACATATATGTATATATTGTACATATATTGACATATATCTCTTTTTTCTCCCTATACATTTTTCCCTCCCTCTAATGTTCGCGTATGGTTCAAGCTGCGATATGCACTGTTTGTTCGTAAAAGTCTTTTATAAACGAAGCACCACCCGTTTTGATGAATTCATCACAACGAATCTAAAAAAGGTCGCGCGACACAACGCAGGATATATCGAGATGTATTATTTAAGCTGTGGGAGCTCCTACAAACGCTCTCCAAAGCTAAATGAATATATTTGGTTCAACGATTACCTTAGAGGCAGAGGACATGCTTCGCTGATCGTGCGACCTTGTTTCCTGTTTACAAAAGAATCTCAATTTAATCTTGAAATGAGACCGAATATGCGCAATTAATGAATCTAGTTCACTTTTGCTAACATGCTCAATTATCAAATAAATTTGGTAGAGCGTAAGAAAAAAGCATATAATCATGGAAAAAATATAAAAAATATATAAAAAATGCATCTTTTCGTTGCTTCTTTCATTGATTTGAAAACTAAGTAAAAAAAAGTTTTCATGTTAGTAATTTATATTAGAAAATAAGAACTTCGTTATTAAAACTCTCTGTGACAATGAAAACGAAAGTAAGTAAAAAATATATGAATAGACAGTTTTTTATAGCAACCAATAAGGTTTTCTATAATATAAAACGTAAATAATTTCTTAATGGAAAATTAAGTTCGTGAATATTTTCGATTGCTTCAGATTTTTAGACTATTAAGTATAAGTCATAACTTCGCGTAATTTTCTACAATTCGTAGAATTTGCACATTCGTTGGCGGAGAGAGTGCGCTGTATTTGATTAATTATACTCTGCATTGTGATATAATTTCAATTACTTTGCTAAAAAAAACTAGGTTCATTTATTCCTGATAATAGTCGTAGTATTTTAGTTCATGTAATTAAAATATAAAGTAGACAATCTGGAAAGGATTTAATAATCTCTAAAAGGATTTAGTAATCGTTGATTCTTGTGTTCATTAATAAAAAAGTAATTGTTGTGTGTCATTCAGTAACGAAAAATGTTTTTAATCGTTAATACGTCATCTCGTCTTAATTTACAATTGTTTGAACAATACTCAACTGTCTCCCCCGATTTTGATGAGTTATGGATATGGCGCAGTAATATACAAAATATGCATAAATTATAAAAAATATATATTTTTTTTATATGTAAATCAATTTTGAGACGTTTAAAGCAAAATCGATTATATTCTTACGTAAATATCATTAAAAGAATATAAAATGTATAAAAAAAATTTTCATGGGAAAATTTAAATGACTTAAAATTTCAAATATCTGAATTCATTTCTTTTAAATATTATATTTTTCAAAATAATGTCCCTCTTTCTCTCATCTTTTTAATACTTGTGAAATAGCAAACACTAAAGATTACTTAATAAATTTAATCATACATCATAAAATTGTTTTTTAAAAATATCACAAATGATCTAGAAAACGTTATGAACGTTATATATATATACGTCTTATCCGTATTATAAATTAATATATTCCTTATTATTCTAAACGATATCTTTTTTATCTTCAAGAAATATTTATAAAATTATAGCAATTATAGCAATAAACAATTTTCATATATGAAATCAATGATGTGTTTTTAAATGTGTGTTTAAAAAACAGACTGGCTTCATATTTTTGATGATATATTAAAGATTAATAAAAAAATGAGACACTATGGAATGAATAAATACATATGCTGACTTCATTAAAATTTATGCAGTGACACTGTGACGCAATAGTATAATTTTATTTACAACTGCTTGACATGCAAAACACAATTGAAGTAGAATTGTTATATATTTTATACTTAATATATATAGTATGTATTTATTTTAATATGATTGTAAAATTTATGAAATACATTTTAAATAAAGAATTTTAAAAAAATATCATAAGTATCGCATATACATGTGCATATATCAGAAAAAATAACAGAATTAATTAAAAATAAAGAAAATGTATGAAAACTTGACACTATTATTAATTAAAACTAACGACTGTCATAATAAAGTTATTAAAAATTAAGTATTTTATTAGATTAGTTAAGATATATATATATATATAACATAATGTGTAAAAATTGTTGCTTAACACATACATATGCACAATATGCAAATAACAACTATTATAACAAAAAAAGTTATTATTAATAGCCAGGTATTTTATTTTATTACTTTTTGAATTATATAATATGTGAAAATTAAATTTTTTTGCATAGCAGCACTTTGATACATATAGAATACATATATTGTAAATAAAATATATTAATGTGTAATATTGCGTAGATTTTATGACGGAGTCAGTGCACCTGTTTACACATTTACTATGCCATTTTTCCTTTTAACCTTTGATATCTTGTCAAAAACATTCTTTATTTCGTTCCAAAAATATTAAACTAGCTTTAATTATAATATTTAAAAAACATGTTATTATTTAGAAATAATATATTATGTAAAAATAATAAATTGCCATATTTGCTTTCATAGTAATCTCTGTAAGATTATGAGGATTATTTGCTTTTATAGTTAGTCCCTGTAAGTTAACATTGATAACGAAAATAAAGTTGCCAAGTAATGAGTACCATAATTTAAGAAAGTTGAAACTCATTTTTAAAAAATGCGATTTTATAAAACTTTCATATATGACTAAATTTGGCGTTAATTGTTTTAAAATTTTTATTATCTTTTGAAAAATATAAAATTTTTGTGAAAAAGCTTATTATAAAATTTATGCCTGTAGCTTATAATATAATTTATAAATATTTATGAACATTATAAAAGATAAATTAAAAGTTGTGAAATTTTTATTTAAAATTTTTTTCATATTTCTTATCATTTCGATAAAAATCTCTTACTCTTTGTTCAGCAAAACGAATATCAATTTTGATTCGAAGGAAATCTTTTAAAATAAAATTAAGCAGTTATATACAAACATTCTCTTTAAATTTTATATTATAATATATTCGAAACTCATCATTTTTATAAGAAATATTTCTTTAAGCAAGAATGAAACGATTTCTTTAAGCAAGAATGAAAGCAAGAATAAGCAAGAATGAAAATAGTAAAGATAAAATAATGATTATAATTTAACGTATGAAAATGGTTTAATAAAATGCATTTACTTGATGATACAATGAAACTAACATAGTGTATACATTTTAATATTTTCAGTCATTTCTCGATTCAGTGACTATCAAACTGATAGTCGATTGAAATATATAATACGACTGAAAATATTAAAATTTTTCTTTTTGGAGGGTAAAACGGGTATTAAAAATCTCGAATTGAGATTGAATTTTCACTTGGTCTAATTAAAAAAAAATCGTGCCTTGTGCACAATAATCAGTTTCACAGAATAATTAATTTTTCTGTTAAACTGATACACGACCTGCGTTTTTCTGCTAGCCCGCGATTTAAAAAAATTGTGTTTTCACTTATTGTTGTAGAGGGTCTTCTTTTTAATTTAGTTCAGTCAATTTTCTTTTACTTTGTGATAAAATAAACTTATCTTGAAATTTCCTTATCAGTAATAATTGGCTTGCAGATACCATGTGTATATAATCAGTTGAATTTTTAAGGAAAAAAGATAATTTTATCTTTTTATCATATTTTATCAAAAGAAACATTTTTCGAACTATCGAAAGAAAAGCACAAACTATTTATCCTGACCATCATTGTTCAATATTTTTGTAAAGTATTAGATACAATACATACAAATATTAGATACAATAAATACAATATGGTAAAAATCGATACAAAGACAGACAATTTATATTAGTAAGTAAAAAGAGGATATCCAAAATTTTTAACATACAATTTTTACGTAAGATTTTATTTTTTTTTTAAATTGATTTTAAAAATTTGAAAAGTAATCATCATATGTATTTTTCAATTATATTTTTTCATATAATTTCTTTTAAAGTTTCCTATTTTTTAAACTTATGTTTCCTATTGTACAAATGCTATATATATAACTCTTGCTACAGATATAGCTCTATAATTATCGTTTTATATAACAGGTGTGCAAAAATTTATATAGAAGCTGCCTCAGCTTAATTCTTGCCTCAGTCATAATGTGGCGCTTGATCATCCTCGTTGCTGTTTTAGTGACAGGTAGATAATAGATTATATTTCATATCTCAATTGTATTTCATTAAGATTGTTTGTATCCTTTATATATTTTATTTGTATTTATCGTTTATTACTTATTTTAACATTTAAGTTAAATAATGTCCTATTTAATTTTATTTATTGAATTTTATTTATTTTAAATACATTTTAATTTAAATTGTATTATTTGTCGTATGTTTCTATAATTTATGTTATTATATTACTAATTAAAAATATTTGCTTACAAAAATAATTTTCTTTTCATATCATAAAGACATCGTTGTAATTATAATATAAATAAAATATTATTTCTATTTTTCTATGATTTTGTAAATTTTACAAATCTCACAAAAGTGTAAATATTTTTACGTATTTTTATATATAATATAGAATATGTTTTAAAATATAAAACATAAGACATGCAAAACAAGTAATGAAATTTTTAGTTCTAACAAGTCTGAAACATTCAATTCGATTTAAAGCCACATGTAATTTTGAAAATCTATTTATATGCACAAAGATATAGCACATATCGTCAAAATACGTAGTGCAATAATAATAGCGAAATAAAATTAATAAATTATATTTTTTTATAAATGTAGTTACATTATCTGACTGTAATATCAAACGTCGGTCAACGACAAGTGGAGATGATGGACATTATTGCGTTTGCAATGCACAGCAATGCGATCAAACACCGGATGTGATCAAGCCGACCAATCTCGATGAATATACCTTGATAACTTCAAATAAAAATGGTTTACGATTTCGTGAATCGAAGGGTATATTTAAAAATGTTAATTCTGATTACTGTAAGTATTTAATTTCCATTATAAAAGATAAAGTAAATTTTTAAGTTTTATTATATATATATATATATATATATATATATATATATAAATTATATAAATGTATAATGTATATGTATAATGTATAATGTATAATATATATATATGTGAACAGTTTTGAAATCCTAAACACAAAAGCCCAATATAATTCAACAATTAAAAACAATTGTCACAATGAAAGTATTTCGCGGAAGTTCTAAAAAAAATTTATAAATCCATCTCTAGGTCAGCTAGGAAAGATTACTGTAAATCAAACGGACATGTATCAAAAAATCTTTGGATTTGGAGGAGCAATGACCGATTCAGCGGCCATAAATATTCTGAATCTAACGCATAACACGTCCGATAATTTGCTAAAGTATAATGAATTATATAAAATACTTAAATTCTAAAAAAATTTTTCTAATTTAACGATTGTTATACGAAATATTTAAGAAGAATTAATGACTTTTATCAAAAGATGATAATTCTATATTTAATTTTTGTTTAAAATTATAGAAGCTACTTCGGCCCGCATGGGATCAATTATAACTTTATTAGAATGCCTATGGGTGGTACGGATTTCTCAACAAGACCTTATACTTACGCGATGATAGAAAATGACGTTTTACTTTCCGATTTCGATTTGCAACCAGAAGATTATAATTATAAGGTTACTTCATTTAATAATTAATTTTTTCATTATAAGACAATCTATTTTTTTAAAAACTTGTGAAGGAAAATTTTTACACTTCTCTAAAGTTAAAGAATGAATAATATAATTCATAGTTGTAAAGTATGAAATATATATGATCATTAAATATCTCAATTGTTTGTAGATACCGCTGACAAAGCGAGCGCAAGAATTAAAAGAAAATGAAATCAAGTTATTGACTGTACCATGGACTGCCAGTCCCTGGATGAAAACAAAATACAGTTGGACAAGCAATGCTAAATTACGCCCAGAATATCGACAATTGTGGGCAAATTACTTTGTAAAGTAAAGATATATTGTAAAGATATTGTATATTATTATAATATATTTTTATTAATTTTTTATTTATAATAACTGATCAGGATATTTATTTTTATAATGCATAATTTGTATATATATGTATGTATGTATATATGTACGTGTGTGTGTGTGTGTGTGTGTGTGTGTGTGTGTGTGTGTGTGTATGTGTGTATGAATCTATGTGTGGAGATTAAATTTCACAAGTAAATTTATATAAAAATAATAAAAATTTAAAATATATTGTTATAAATGTTTATTTTATTTTGTATACTTTTATATAGATATTTTGAAGCTTATCGTAATGCTGGATTGGAATTCTGGGGTGTGTCATCTCAGAATGAACCAGTCAGTTACCTCTATGCACCGAATATAAACGGAATGGTATGGACTGCTGAGGAAGAGCGTGACTGGATTATCGAGTATTTGTCACCAACCCTAAAAAAAAATGGCTTCGAGCACATAAAGATCTTTATAATGGAAGAAAACAGGCTGACACTTCCCGATTGGCCGAAAAAAGTATTTAAGGATCAAAGAGTAAGAGATATCGTTTCCGGAGTTACAGTTCATTTTTACTTCGATAAAAAAGTCAGATCGCATACGTTAACGGAAATAAAACGAAATTTTCCAGAGAAATTAATAATGTACACAGAAGCTTGCACTGGAGTTGATAAAGGTTGGTAAAGAATAATTTTTACATTATAAATTTAGCATATTCCAAAAGGTCTTTCTTAGTAACTGATAATTATTGAAACGAGAATAAATTTGACTAGAACGAAAAATTGATTATGTTTTATACATAGTTTTAACCACAGCATTTCCTCTCTCTCTCTCTTTCTCTCTTTCTCTTTTTCAAATACTATTGCAACAGTATATTCTTCAGATTAAAGTAAATCGAAAAATTTTTACCATTTTTTCATTCGGCAAAAAGTATCGAAATATATAGATCATAAAGATTGCAAATTTTCATACGTTAAAGCATCACAATCTTTGTAAAAAAATTATTAATATACCATTGTATTATTCGTCATATTTTCCAATTTTTAGTTCATGATACTCAATAATTGCTCATCAAAGAAAAAAATAGCAAAAGAATCCTTAGGTTCGATTTAATTCGAAAAATATATGTTTTTGCAATATGCATTTGTTAACAAATATAGCATATTTGTCAACAAATATTGTTAATAAATATTATATAAATTCTTTAGTTGTTATTATAACACATTTTTATAAATAAATCTTTTGTATGCTTTTAATCTTTTTCAAACAATTTCTTATTTATATAAAGTTTACGTTATGTGATATTAAAATATGAAAGAATAATTTTATATTGAACTTATTTTTGTTAAAATATTAAGACTCAAAGTTTTATAGGGCAAATACTGAGTTATAGTCAATGTGTTTGTTGCTTGTTATATAATATATAGCTAATTATAGAATAAATGTATATTTATAGAAAACGGAGTAATCCTAGGTTCATGGATACGTGGTGAGGTATATGCGAAAAACATTATCGAAAATATGCGGCACTGGGTATCTTCTTGGATCGATTGGAACATAGCTTTAGATATGACTGGTGGACCAAATTGGGTCAATAATTTCGTTGATTCACCTATAATAGTCAACAACAAACGTGATGAATTCTATAAACAACCAATGTTCTACGCTCTTGGACATTTTTCGAAGTTAGTAAGCATTACTCTTTTATATTTGGATTATAGTGTGTGTACACATACACATGTGTCGTAATGCCACATGTGTCTATATATGTGTCGTAAGATATATTTGTAATATTAATGATATAGTTCTTAAAACGACATAAATTCATGGAATAGTTAAAATTAATGTTTTTGCATATTTTTTTATTAGCGATTTAAATCATTATTGATTAAATTTTATTTAAATAGATATGTTCCACCTAATAGTAAAAGGATCGGTTCAACAATGGGAAATATGAAAGGAATTAAAAATGTTGCGTTTTCCACACCAGACGGTGGTGTCGCACTAATAATCTTAAATCTGTAAGTTTTTCTCTTGTACATATATAAACACTCTAAAATATTTAAATGTCGATTGATGTATTATGTATTCTATCCCTTACTTTGTTAATACCTAATATACATGATACATCATGAGGAAATTCTCGTATCAACTGTGTTTTTGTTTTTTCAGGAACGAAGAGGAGAAAGCAATTCTAATCGAAGATCCGAAGAAAGGAACAACGACAATAAATGTTTCTGGAAGATCCATTAATACAATAAAATATTGGAACATATAATAAGAATATAAATCCGTAGTGTCGATAGATATATGTATATATGTATATATGCGCGCGCAAGGCATAGATTTTAATACACATTTAAATCGTTTTAATTCTGTAAATTTTTTCTACTACAAAAAAAATATTCATGAGAGTTTCTTTAAAATAAAAAGAATTAAGAAATAAATTGCTAAACTACTTTTCTTATAATGTAACTTGCTGCACTAATAGTATAAATGGTTGTGTTGTTTTAAGAATTCTATTTTAACTATATAATTTCTATGCTTTGAGTATTATACACGTTATTGTTAATTAATTGGTTTGCAATTATTTGAAACTTCTGTATAACTCGAATCATTCTCATCGAGATTAAAATTCTCGCCGAGAATTCTTCTTTTCTTTTACTCTTTCTCTAACAAAAATTTAACAAATTTGATGAACGTAATGGAAATGTAGTTGTTCAAATGCATTCAATCTCGCTGAATGTTTAAAACATCTACCGCATTTAATCTGTTAAGCTATAATTTTAATATCAGCAAAAATAATTTAAACTTGAATATAATTCTTTTAATATGAATCTTAAATTTGTCTTAACATGAATCTGAATTATTTTTATTATTCTTATTAAGATGAATTATTTTTATTATTCTTATTAAGATTGATGATTAAGATCTTCTTATTAAGATTGATGATTTTTATTATTCTTATTAAGATTGATTGTTGAACGTTATTGCTACATAATTTTTTATTCATGCAACCTAAGTATAACTTTATATGGAATAAAGTAGGTCATAATTCTACGTGTCAAAGATAAAAATAAAACTGGTCAAAAATACAAAAACAAAATTTATAAAAATTAGATCTATTATATCTATTTTTATTAGATCTATTTTTAAGATGATAAAGTAAAATATTAACGTATTCTGTCATAGAATAAGTGTAATTACAATATAAAAGAAAAAGATCAATTAAAATTGTATTTGATGTATGCTTTACTTAAACGAAATAAAAATGACGCACGAAATATTTTGCGTTCTTCACTTTCTCATATATATTGGTACAATTATTACAACTATTTGTACACAATTGCGTTTACGTCCCTCTTTTTTTGCTCTTCTATATTGACTCTATATAATTTCTCATTTATATAATTCTTATCGCAAGAAATTTCCATAAGCAGTGCATTCTACGTCATACCAATATTTTTCAAGATCTCAAAAACCGATTCGATAATAAAACCAGCGCGAAAATGTTCTTATCGGACATGTCAGCAAATCTAAAAAATCGAGCGTCATGCGTGAATTTCAAGGGTGAAGGATATTCGGGAAGACAGAACGCGGACGGTAAAATAAAGCTTGGTTCGTGGATGTTTATCGATGTTATTCGAAGGACATTCTCGTTACTTCCGCGCGCACATTATGTGGGTCACTGGTCCAAGGTCTCGCCGAAACTATGCCCCGGGTTATCGCGCGAGCTCGTGCACCACGCCAGGTAATACGCTGCAGGCACTTCCTGTGTGACCCATATATTCCACCACGACATTGTTCTCTCCCCATATTTACGTCCAGATTCCAACAGGAGCAAAATATTTTTAAATATCTTACAAACTAGTTAAAACTATAATATTTATACGTTACTTAGACACATTTTGTAATACTTTGAGTATAAAAGGATTTTGTGCCGCGATGGATTTATTATGATCCGATATAATACCAAAGTTATAATAAATAAATAAGCTCTTTACTTCGCAATTGAAAAATTAGTCATCTTTTTGGCTAGATTTTGAGATTTGAGAAAAAAATAGCTTGGAAAAAAGATTTGTCGCTATTTTATTGATAAACAACGTTTGGCAAGCTTTTTAATCTTTCAACGATCTGAATAAGGAATGTGTATGCTTGCGGTATTGAATACAAATTTTCTTTTTTAATTCTTTATAAATATCCTTCAATTGTTTTTTATATTGAAAATTGTTTCAATGTAAGCAGAATACATTTCATTAAAAAAAAAAGTACAGCAGGTGTTGATAACACTTGTTTTTAACATCTAATCATATTAGATCAGTTTTTTTGAGATTTTAGAAAATCAATGTGTGTAAAAAGTAATTATGCGATAATAATTAGTCGAGTTGTATTTAAATGAACGAAAGAACTTTTGTAAAACAGTAATTTAAAATTACGTTTGATATTTTAATAAATAAGTAAAAAGAAAACGCTTAATTAAATAATCTCTTTGATTATCCAAAGTCAGCTAGAGTTTTATATAAAAATGAAAAATGTTTTCGTCGCAAAGAAATTAAAAAAACAATAAAAAAAAGGAATAATCTGTCAAAAAATGAAAATTTAAAAATATTTCGTGAAATGGAAATAATATATGAAGTAAAGAGGGAGGGGGGAGAGAGAGAAAGAGAGAGAGAGAGAGAGAGAGAGAGAGAGAGAGAGAAATGGAAAACGAGGACGTAGAATGGAGGTGAAGGTTGAAATTTAACACGAAAACCGTGCATTAGATCGATTCGATGTAGTCTATCGATCTTAGACTAATCTGCAATGGTTCCTAAAGAGAAAGAGAGAGAGGAAGAATTTGTTCCCGAACGTACCTCTTCACGCTCCAGGACATCTGTCGATAAGTTATTCAATTCTCGACTCTATTGGATTTCTCTCTCCTCGTGAGATGAATCCTCAGTTGCGGTTTAACTATATCTTCGTAGTCGTAACGACTCGAAAGAGGACGAATTCGTTTTTCGTTCATCTTTTAACGCATGTGTGCATCTATAACCGATTTTTGAACGAATAATTTCGTGAATTTGAATTTCATTCTCTCAAAGAGAATAAAAGTGAAATGATAGATAGCATGAGACATTGTTTAAACGCGAAGTTGTATACAATTATGAATTAATGTTGGAAGATGTGTCCAGTGAATGTATGGTCGTAATAAAATTCGTAAGTCTGTATGCTCGTGATAAGAAGCTCGCGTCTGATTTGCGGCTCCATTCATTATTAATGCCATGTATGCAATAAAAGCTTCTCTCTCCTGCTATACTACGTTACTTGCAACGAGAATATTGCACTTGAGGCGACGGAGGATTAAAATTCATAGATATCTTTGAGAATGGATGGAGCGTTCCTGAATATCTGGTAATGGTATCATTTCGCACATCGATCATTGCTATTTTCTGCAAGCAATGGGTATATTCCTTCTTTCTTCTACGTGGAAACTCTAATAAACTTTTTAGATATATTAAATTTTATGTTATGTTTTCTTTATAAATGATTTAAAAAAAGTTTTTCGAAATTTTACATTTTTAGCGTTTATGTACGAATTCTTTCTGTACCAAGATTACATATATCGAATAAAGTATTCGAGTTATGCGCGAAAGAATATAAGATTATAGACTTGCACGACGATACGTGCTTCTCGTACATGAAATGAACGATTATGCATCGACGATCTAACGAACAGCTGTGAAACGTGTTTCCTGCAATCTCGCAATTAAAATTTGCAGAGATGAAGAAATTAAAAACTGGATTTAGCTTATTGATATATATGAATATTATTCGTATTTATTCATATTATAATCGAGTAATTTATGCTGCTATGATTTTATCAATTCTCTCAAGTTCGTCTTGCAACACATAAGAATGGCATATGCATTTCAAGATTCGCGAGATTGCCGATATATCTTGTTTTTTTCTTTTTTTTTTCATCGACAGAGCACATTTGCATTCCATGCTTATGGAAACGTAACTATGTTTCTATCACGTGTGAATAATATTTTAATAAAAACTAGAAATATCCGGTGTTTCTGCTTTTCTCTCTTTCGCACTTCCTCTTTTTCCTTCTCTCTTCATCTGTCGATGTATCAAGGTCATCATTGGTGCGAACAAACGCGCAATCAAATAATCGATACAGAATGAGAGGAGGCGATCGCCGTGCGATTGCAAAAAATGCAAGCATTAACGATATATCGCCGACGCACGTTTAGTAAAAACAAATACATATCTGACTATTCCATATACATGCTTCCTCGTGAATAAAACTTGGATCAAAATCTCTCGAACATGCGGGTGAAAACCAACAATATTTAATTTGACGTTAAAAAAGCAATTCTCATAGTTGACGATATCTCTTGTTTAATTTAGGAAATAAAATTTTATAAAGAAAATTTACTCTTTTTATGTTCGAATTTCTTTTTACCATATATGGCGCGCATAATATTTGACATCGCTTATTATTAGAATCTTAGCATAGAATTATTTTTACATAAAACGTAAATAACGTATTGTAATTTATACAGTCTTTTCAGACTCAGATTGTGCATGTGGATAGATTAATTTCTAATTTCAAATTGTACTGCATAAATTACAAATGTTAAATGAGTTATATATACGTTTGTATGTATCAAATGTGCAAATGATTATGTAAATTTGTCTCAGTACATTATTATTTGCAAGTTTTTAAGTGTTCTCTCAACACTACTTCTTACTTTGTCAACATAAAATAATGCCATGTAAAATATTGTGTATCAATTAATTTGAAGTTACTTGATAATATTTAAATAAATACATTTTGTTTATTTTCCTCTATTTTGTGTGAAATTGTAAATTGTAAATTGGTTAGAATTGACGAATATTTATAATCGTTGATAAATGATTTGTAAATGAAGGAATGAAACACGTAATGCATGTTATATGTATCTATGAAATTATGTATCTGTGAAATTATATATGTATTATGTATCTTGAAATCTATAGTCGTATCTATAGTACGTACGATATTGAAGCGCATGTACAATATTTATTAGCAAGATAGAATTAATCGTAAAATTCGTAGAACCGCACGCGCGCAATTGTAGATTGAATGATATTACAAACAGTTATATACGAGTGATTAATGGCATCCATCTCTTATTATGTATAATTTTTTTTTATTTTATATATTTCAAATTAATTTGATAACTTTGTTGTTATATTTTAGTTATTACTAATTATATTATATATTATTATTAAAGTTAGTTAATAAAAAAATTTCCTTCTGTTATAAAAAAATTTGAAATCTACTATTTCAATATAACATTTTTTGTAGATTATAAGAAGATTATAATCACATTGAGATTAAAATTATATTGCATATCATGATAAAATGAAGCATATATATACGTATAAACGAGTTTAATTGCAATTAAGTACGAACATCATAAATGATTGATTGTAATTATAGCACATATGATAGCTTTATTTTCCACTCTATATATATATATGTCCACATTTACAGTTAAATGTAACTCACAAATCATTATCTATATGTTAACATCATGAATGTGATTTTTTTCCATTGGAAATGGAACATGCTTCGTTTTCAAGAAATATATTTCTTAACTGTATATATATGTACATATGTACATATATATGTGTGTGTGTGTGTGTGTGTGTATGTAAATTGATAATTAATTTAATCAAATGACATTTAAATATCAAAATTAATTTCAAAATCAATTTTTTTTTATCAATTGATTAATTGATAGACAATTATATTGTAATCTCATGTTTCATACTAATTTATATATTGCTATATAAAAAGTTAATTAATAATAAAACTAATATTATTTTGATATTAAAATTTCAATAAAAAAATCAACAACATATGTTTCTACTCAGACAAATAAATAGCTTTAACATTTATTACTAATATACACGAGGTTTACACATTCAAATGTTCAAATATTGAAAATATTATTTTAACTTGCACACATTTGCTAAAGATAATATATATATTGCACACATTTGCTAAAGATAATATATATATTATCTTTAGCTAATATATTATAAAATACTTCATAAAAATAACATGGGTATATTATAGACATATATTTCGATTCTTAACTTGTTAAGAATAATTATAACAGTTAAAATATTATCTCCAACTTTACAATAACATACACATCGTCGCACAAAGAAATTCTTATATAGACAGGAATTAATTAAAATTCGAACTTAAATATAACAAAATCTTGTATATATGGAAATGACATTACAAAAGAGAGAAAGAAAAAGAGAAACGCAAGATAAAAGTTTATCAAATATTAATGTAAATTTTATAATGAAAAATGATATTATTGAATATAATTATTATAATTGTCATTATTTCTCTATACAAGATTTCGTTACATTTATAAGTATGAATTTTTTAATCAATTCTATATGATTATGATATGCAGCGATGTATATGTCATTGTACAATTTAATAACTGTTATAACAAGTTAACAATGGAAATATATTTATTTTAGAGAAAAGTTGCTATATATTGTTAATCGACGAATCTTCGAGAAAAAATTGACGAAAAAATTTCATCATCATTTTATTTATTTTTTTAAACCGTAAATTGTTATATAAGTAGTTATGATTACTGCATTTTGCTATATAATTAAGGTAGAAATATAAGTGATATGGAAGGTTAGGCATTAAATGATTTATAATGATTCGTCTAGTTGTAACAAGGTATAACTGAATGAAGGCCGCGCGAAAGGTGTTTTATAAGTAAGTATACGTAAGTTGTATACACGGATATATAATAACACTTGATCTCATTTACTTGATCTTATACTACACTAACATTGACCTCACATATGAAAAGTTGTATGTTTTATTATTTTATGATTAATATACATACATATTTTGTAATAGCTCTGATATATCGATGGACATGTAAAACATGAAATTACGAAAAGAGAGAAAGAAAAAGAGAGTTTTATTAGATTTTTAGAATATTAAATTTGTTGTAAATTATTTATTAGACTCGTCCAAATATGACGCATTACAGAATGGAATTTCATCAGATAATAAGAAATCATCACCCATGACAAAAAGAGCTTTAAGGACTTATACATTTATAGCAAAAAGTATAATGAGCAGATACTCTCAAAACGTTCTAATAGACCGGAAAATTCTTAGGAAAAATTCTCATATTTTTCATTAAAATTTAAAATAGAAGCTTTTTTCATTCGAACAAGATGTTAAATATCATAGATATGGTTAATAAATATATAACAATCTTATAACATCTTATTTTTTTTTCCTTCAATCGTTTTATAGTTATTGATTACGTATAATTGTGCGTCACTATCGAGCCTATTTGTGATCGTTAGAATTATGAAATCATACATCTATCACACTCAAACTGATCGTTAATTATAATGTGGTCGGCTATCATTAATGTTAATTATAACTAGTAATATCAAGGTATATTAAAAAATTTTAATTCTTTTATAAGAATTTTAAATATTTCTCGTCGCGTATTTCATTGATCACTTATAGTTTTTGCCATGAAATCTACTATTAAAAGAATTCAGTACTTTTAAGATACCTTGTATATACACAATGGCAATTCACTTTTTTGTACACGTTACGTAAACAATTATTTCAGCAATGCTGATATTTTACTGTTCCGCAAATTGAAACGCGCCTCGTTGCAAACGTTAATGTGTGTAATATGTGCGCGATCGTGGTTTATTGTTTTCGTAACTACACGTTACATAAATGATTATTCGAACAACATGTCGCTTTACTGTTTCGCAAATTAATTAATTCCATTGCGAATGTTAATCAGAAATTTTCGACACCGAAACAGAAATCTCCAATTACGCATTTTATCTTTGTTTCAAAAGGCGCTCTCAGGTTTTCCTGCTTTCCATGAATTGAATCACGGAAGGAAAATTCATTGTGTGCGGTGAAATCAAGTGCTATGATTCCGCGGAATTTACATAAAAAAACGTCGTTGACAAAGTCTTTATCTTTCTGTCCTATACAACTATCCATGAATCATTAGATTTTCTTGAATTTTCATGGACTGTCGTGGATAAATGACAAAACCGCATTGATTCCATCAAAAACGGATAAAATTTTTTTAAATTTATCCAAGATCAGATACGATTACGGAAAGATATAATTACGGAATAAAAACTTTAAAATTAAAAAAAATTTCACAATTTAATTTTAAAGTAAATAATTCCTATTAATACTCTGATTGCACTATAGCAATGCTAAAGCCATAGTATAATAAATATCAAAATATAAGCGCAATGTTGTAGTCAAAAGAATAAACTGGATATCCTTGGGATTTCAATATGATACGTATTCGAACTAGTCGATTTAATACACGTTTGCACCTGGTATGACATATCAATTTAGTATGTTGATGTATCGCAGGAATGCCGATATTTAATAAGTATAAAAAAATATAAATAATGCTTGAATTAAGAAATGCTATGTCTCTAAAATACGAGGATCTCTAAAAAATGGAGAATATATGTAGACATACAAAGATACATATCTAGCAAAATAATACTAATCTTATTCAGAAAAAACTATAGGAAGGAGAATTCAGAAAATTAAATTTAAAATACTTGATAATAAATTATATTTAATAATGTTTTAGATATAAAGGATTCTGTAGTTCTGTAGCTCTGAACTTCTCAAACCTTTAAAAGTTCGTAAATCATATACCGCTTTTATGGTAACTACAGATCCGTTTGGTTATTTACGCACATGCAGATAAACCTCGCCGAACGACCAAGCATTTGCGAAGCTCATAAATTCAGCACATTCATGGATATACAAGCATTTTTCAATTAAGAGAAAAAAAAGAATACAAATTAAAGACAGACAAGATAAATGCGCTGTATAAAGTGATTCTATATAAAAAGACAACAAAGATTTGATACTCAGATGCGTTAAAGAATATAATAAAAAATTATTAAAAAGATATTTTCTGTTTTTTTTATTTATGACAAAAATTCTCGTCGGTAATCCTCAATTTTCTTATCTTATCTTTTTCTCTATTATAAAACTATTATATAGTTGATATCGCTATATATCAATTTTTTAACATTTTTAATAAAACAATTTGGAAAAAGATTGCCTTTTCCTTTTGATTTTTAGATCTTAAAATAATGATTTATTAAAAATTAGCTCTAAAGTTGAAACTTTATAAAAGAAAAATTAGACCAAAATCCACATATTTAATCAAAAAATAAAATTCTGTTCATATATCAATTAAAAAATAACATTTTCTTCACATATTTTAAAAAACATTAATATAAATATCTGCTGTACTTTATTACACATTAAAAAATATTTTAAAATCTATTTTAAAATCTGTCAAACACAATTTCATTTTATCATTCATACAACGATGCGATAATAATACGTTTGCATAATTTATAAATAAAACATTACATACTGTAAAGAATGTGAACGTATAATCTAAAAATACTAGAGAATTCCTTACGTGATTCACATCATTTGCGGTTTTCTGTGGGTTTTTACTATTTGGTTAAACGTCCTTCGAGAAAGGTGACGATCGAGATAAAAAAAAAGATCGAACGTCATTAAGAGCAGGGAACTTCCTACTAAAAATAATTGGAATTGTGAGCCTGTTTGATTATTCCATATTCCTCCCACTCACAGGTGCCAACTGAGAGAGGTGAGAGTAGAAATATAAACATCACCCGCAGATTGTGCCGTGAAATCGTTGATTCTGCACGCAACCGTCGTCCAGGTCGTATTAATTAAGTGTTCATTCAAATTAAAGTAGTCTTTGGAAGGATATTGTAACAATGTTTTTAATACAGTTAACGATTTTCGTTTTATTTTTTATTAACTTCGTCTCATCTGCCGATCCCGATGTGGAACTGCAATTACTTCACGTGGTAAAGAATTATTTAATTTTTCATAGATTTCATATGTAAAATCATAAAATCAATGAGAATTGTTTTTATAGAGGATATGTGTGAACAACAAAATGAAAGACATTTCATTCTTTCTAAGAATTTTATTTTTCCCTGATTTTTTAGTCAGGGAAAAGTAATAAAAGTAATAATAGAAATAAAAAGTAGCATTTGATATTTCTTTTTCTTTTGAAAATATAAAATAAATATTACTTCTAAATTATTTTAAGTCAATAAAAAGCAGATAGATACTTTTATCATGCGAATCGCACAAATGTGTGAGTGTGAAGTTGAGAAGTTTTCGAAAGAAATTCAGAAATTATGAGAAAGTAATTTCTTGTACGTGAGACAAGTAACAAAACATTTGCATTATCGTGACAGTTTTGTGAGGTGACAGTGATGATAAATGGATAATAATGACATATTTTACATATGTACATATATAAGTATGTTCTGTTTCAAAGGTATTTCGCCATGGTGACAAAGTGCCCCATCGAGAGTTCCAAAATTATCCCAATGATCCGTATCGAGAACATACTTACTATCCGATAGGAGACGGGGATTTGACCAATGTGAGTAATTATAACGGTTAAAATGAAATACTGTATTGTATAATTAAACGATATCAATTTAACTATGCATTCAGCAATTGCATGATTTAATATTCAGAAACACTATATATTATAGTATATTTTTGCTATATCATATTTTTATTGCGTGCTTTTTAAAAGTAGATTAAATCACATGCTGTCATCAAACGCTTATGATAAGCTACCTAGTTAGGATCTATAAAGATAGTTATCTATTTAATAGTCTTCACCTTATATAACGCGAACACCACACACACATATCTAACATTTATTATTATCATTCAAAGTCTCAATATCTTTTTTTTCATAAAATAAAAAAAACAAAATAAATTCCTTAATTTTGATAAATAATTCTTATTTTGAACTAAAGAGAGGAAAATATTTCGGTCTAAAAAAACATTTGTGTAATCTTTCATCTCGTGATATCCATTTCGCGGAGACTTGTCTAACTATAACGTCTTCCCTCGCGCGATTAGCAAGGCAAGATGCGGGAATACAAAATCGGGACGATGCTGCGCGAAAGATACGATCAATATTTCGGACCGGATTACTGGCCGGCCAAGATCTATGCTCGATCTACGGATGTCCCGCGAACCCAACTGTCTCTTCAATTAGTCCTAGCAGGATTATTCCCGCCCTCCGAGAGACAAACCTGGAATCCACACTTGCCCTGGATTCCAACGTGGACGTTCTTCGTTCCGTACAAGACTGACAACCTCTTGTTTCCGCATTACTGTCATCGGTGAGTAACTTTACAGGAATTTGATTGCAGAGATATTATAACGAAATCCTTAAATCTTATTTTTAGTCTCGTTTTCCCGATGCTCTTTGTACTTTTTTTCAACATCTACAGGCATTTTATTTTATTTCATTGCTCTTTTTATTTTATATATTTAATCATTTTTTCTCTTTAATTCAAGGTGAAAAAGATCCGGAATAAAAAGAAAAAGATTTAATTATTTTATCATTTTTATATACTTTGTAACTTTCTCCAATAATATTTCAATGTAAAAAATTGTAATAAACATTATTATTTTCTCTTTTATTGATTTTTAGGTATAGAGAAGAATATCAACGGTTCCTTCAACTGAATAGTACAAAAGAGATAATTAATAAATACAAGAACGTAATGGATTATTTGACTGATCATTCTGGTAAATTGATTAACAGTACGGAAGCTGTCACTCACATGTACAATTTACTTAAAGAAGAGGTGAGCAATTATTTTCTGATAATAATAGAACATTTAAAATATATCCATTTAAATTTTTATCATTAATCATTTTTAGGCTGCGCAAAATTTGACGCTACCAAGATGGACCCAAAATGTTTTCCCTAATCCGATGGAAGAAATGATAGAAATGGATTTCAAACTTCGATCATATACGAAGACTTTGAAAAGATTAAATGGAGGTTGGTACAATTATTATAGAAAATCTCTCTAAAAATGTTAGCAAATTTTGATAATATTTTGTTTACCCAGAAAAAAGATCAACTGTATAGTATAAAATACAATAAAAATATTTTTTTTTTCAAAAATTCAATATCAAAATTCTTTTTGGCAAAATTAGATCACAAATACAATTATTTTATTGTGTTAATAATTAATTATATAGTAAATATATCAAGATGAATATGTTCGTCTATTCTTTAAAATTAGCGAAAAGGAAAGTATACATTATATATTTTATATTTTCTTAAATAATTTGATATAATTATTTTCAAAAGATCATATAATACATGAGATATATCAAAAAATTATATTCTCTTTCGCTAATCTTGAAAATTAGATAAATAGATGAGAATATCAAATATATATGCAATTATTTTATCCTGCGTTCTCTAAATCCGATCTACAATTGAATTCATGAAACGACAGTAGGAGTAAAGTATGTATCATCGCAAGAGGGAGTGATTTCCAACAATTCCTTTAAAACTAAAGGAAACATAATATTCATCTTTTAAGATCAAAGCTTTATGAATTCTTTATGAATTTCTGAGGTATTCTCGCAAAACTTTACTGCTGGCACAAGGCATTTATAACTTGAAAAGAATGCGTTTCTTGACTTATAATCATGCCTTCTCTTATGTTCAAATGAATGAAATACGCTACTAGTATTATAGATAATTCACTCTAAAAATATTTCTCATATATAATTGATACATTTTTTATTTCAATTATTTAAAACAAAACTACTAAGATTTTTATTATAATTTTATGTTATACCATGTAGGTATTTTGCTTCGCAAAATGGTGGACAATATCCAAGAGAAAAGAACAGGAAAATTGCCACATGATAGAAAAGCTTTTTTCTTTGGCAGTCACGAAGTCAATATAGCCGCCGTTGCCTACGCTTTGGGAACAAACGAACCAACGGTCCCTGCTTATGGTGCTACAATTATTCTAGAGACTCTCCAAGACAAGAAAGGAATTTACTACGTCCGAGTACGTTACATGATACATTTTACATCAATAAGATAAATCTAAGAGAAATCAAATTGATTCATTTAGATGTGCTAGATTTTCCCTACAGAACAATCGAGATAACAAATCTTTTGAAATATAGTTAAAAAAAATAGATTATTCCTTCTTTGTCACTTTTGTTATAATATTTTAATAATACATAAGAGATTTATTTTTCATTGCTTCGTTTTCACAGGTCTTACTGTGGACTGGCGTTACGGAACAACTAATTATACAGACGATTCCAGGTTGCACGGAATTGTGTCCCTTTGTAAAATTTCTCGATATTATAAAAGATGTTTTACCGAATGACGACGAGTATTATTGTCGGCGAAATAAAACAACAGAAGCTCATGTGCCACATTATCAATCATCTGCGACACATATAAACGACGACCAATTTTGGCGATACTTTTTCTTCGTCATTTTATTCGCGTTCACGTCGAAATTTATACAAAAATGATTTATCGACGCAGATATAATAATTCTAAATCTAAAATATTTATTGTCCTTTTTCTTCGAGAAACGTGATCTTAACCCAGGGAAATAGTTGCGAAAATAAATAGTTGCCACTCGCGTATTACGACCGATACCTGTATCGGAAATACTTTATCGAACTATGAGAGTACTCGGAAGGCCCAGCGAGGTTGCGGTTATACATTTCGCTACGTATGTTGTGGTTAGCGCGTTGATGTATTTTACCGCACGTGTTGTTACACTGTCACGTTACATACGTGAACTACTATGTACATATGTAAATAGCTGTCAGTATATTGATTTTATTGTAGTCTCAATATCGTAATCATTTTAAAACAAACATCTCATTCATAAACTCATGTTATCTAGAACGTGGGATTTTCAAAGCCTACATCGGATTTAATCAATCAATCATGCTCGTAAGTAAATTTTACCGACTAAAATCAATATTCTATGACATTTACTGCCATACAAGTATCTAGATATCGCTACTATTATTCGTTAATATTAATATTTTAAATAACATTGTATTTATGATCTTGTGTAAAAAGCTTAACGAAAATAAAATATTAATAAATCGAAAAATTGTTTTGTGAAAAATTATGGTGTGTTTTTTGCCATTTATTGTTATATATACACATAGGTACAATTGATAGTATTATGCAACCAAAATTAGATCTTCTAATACATATAAAATATATAGATAAATTTTTTATACGATTTTTTACATGCTGATAATATAATGAAGAAAATAATGCAGTGACCTGAAGATGTAAAAAGTAGACGTCAGTTTGACAGCCGTTTTAATGTCACAGCTAATCGGATTAAGTTCTCCGAATGCGAAATTGGAGCAAATTTGATTCCAAAATGAACAGATTGACTTTTCTATTCTCGTCGAGTTGAAGAGTTCAAGAACCCGTACGCGATCGAATAGCAACTTCCACGAGATAAAAATGGATACCGCGATTTCAATCGATACGTTTGTCACTTTAATTTGGAGAGTCGTTAAAATTGTAAAAGAGAAAAATGGCAATCCGTAATATCTCTATTTGCTCCATTAATATCTATATTTCATATAATGTGCGATATAATATTTACAGTGCGTTAAAATATTTGAGAAACACTGCTCCTGTGCGATTCGTGATCCTTCGCTTGTCGTTTTCCGTTCTGCATGGAATCAAGTATCTCGATGCAGATACGCGCAACCAAGAGGGGTCCCTGCACTTTCGTTACGGTGATTCACCTTGCGTGGCGAAACTACGAATGCGTGTGCATCTAAGATGCATCCGTTAAGGAGTAAGTACGTTTCGTATGAAGCGCATTATTTACATAACGATGGTTCTTGATGGCATACTGCCATGATAGGATATCATGATATCACAAATGATATACGTTTATTTTATATTCTTCTGTTATCAATGAGATTAGTACATCCAATGCGGTTGAAAATTAAAACGGTATAAAAAATTAATAGCGACTCCTCTCTTCTCCCTTTCTTCTATTTGACCCGGTTTAAAACAAGTTATTATTCGAATTAACACAAATAATTGCGTGGGTATAAATACAACTCTAAATTATGCTTGATAAAATTAGTTAACCTATTTTTCTTTCTACTGCTGTAAATGCATTTTGTGTTTTTACTTCTGTGATACGCCACGTATTTTATTGAAATATAAATTTAAATCTCGGGCAATATATTGATTCGTTTCCAATGAAGAACTAATCGGGATAATATCTCGAGATTAAATAAGAGAAACGTTTTCGGTAGGTGTAAGGGAAACGTTTTCGATATCCATAATTTGCTGTCTCCGATATAGTCCAGCTCCGTACTATTCGATACGCGCTACAAGCAACTGCTATGCTAATTTACACGAAATTGTACGAAATTATACAATGTGCAAATACGCTCAATTTAAATAATTAACAGTTGAATTTAAAGCTCCGAAATCTGAACGGGTCGTTAACGCGATTACTCGTTTGTCTAAAGTACGTCTAAAGTATCACTACTTTAGACGTCTAATGTACGAGAGATTTCTTCTCATTAGAATATATATAATCTGGTTTTGATATTTCTTTATTAAAATATATAGTCAAAATATTTAAATTTTTCCATTAATTAATATTTTAATTTTAAATTTTTTCGTGCTATTAGAAAAATCATTGCATGTTAATAAAAACAGAGATTTTAATAAATGTAATATATGTTATTCTTTTTCGCGAATTATTTATGAATAGTGATCACACACAACACATGTTCGGAGGCATGTGTACCTTATCATAAGAAAGGACAAATTATAATCGTATAAAGGTGAAGGTGTGGGAATGCATACCATCGATGAGTGGTAGCTAATGTTTCTCAAGGCAAGGGTTTCTCAATAGACGTATGATTGTTTAAGTGGAAGGTGCAGATATGATGTCGAAGAAGCATCGAGGAATTTCTAGTTTGTATTATGCAAATTTCATCGTCGCATATATATTTACCGTTATAAATATTTTCGAGATTTAGTCGGCTGCCAGCAAGCAATGTCGCAAAATTTTGTCAAATAAACAAGATAGAATATAATGTAATTATATAAATTATAGAGAGTACTGATAAATAAAGATATTAATATTAATAACATTAATAGTAAATTAATAGTAAATTTAAACAAAAATTTTGTTATTTATCATATGACAACAATAAATAGTAAAACGTAATAAGGAAATGTAAACATATATATAATATTCTATCTAATTTAATCATTATTGTCATTCGTTTATACTAATAGATGGCTAACTACAGATATAAACACATACACAATTGTTTCGACACAATATAAATTTTTCAAGATTATTATTATATTAATACTTTTTTTAAAAATAATTTCTCACTTTTTACATAAATTACCTTTTCGTTTTATTTTTTTTTTTTGTTAAAAAATATTTTATTCAGAATATCCTTATGTAAAATGCAAGAAAGGGCTTGTTATGAGTCCATCACGTATTTTTTACAAGTGCTTTTCTCGGCTGTGCAGCTTATTTCATAAATAAAAGATTGCAATGTAATGCATTCCTGCTGCAAGCATTCATATATAATAGTTACTGTAATATATCCTTTGCTGCCACTGCTGAAGGTCGAGGACAAAACTTAAGATTTGCGCACGTGCTCATGAAATGCAATATCTTTTGTTGTACAAAAATCCTGCTTTAACATTTAAATTTATCTTCATCTTTAGCATTCGATATAGTCAGACAATAAATGAAATGAAAAGAAACATATGCATGTCTATGCGTTCTGAGAAAGGAATATAAGTCTCCCGAAGCCGAATAAGATTAGATTGTTGGAAAAATCGGATAAAGTGGGAGTAGAAAGGTGGTAATCGTTACGACTGTTACCAACAATTACGAAGGATGAGCATTGTATGTATATTTTACAACGAGATGTGCGTACGACCGTGAGCATTAAATCATCGTGGCTTCTCTGGCCGTGTACTTCAAGTGGTATGTGGTATTTTCTTACATGCGTAATTCACCTGCGTGATGATTACATCATTTGAATCTCGAGAAAAGCGCTGCGATTTTCCGACCAATAAAATATTTTCCGAACAACGAGTAAGCGAGTTTGAAGTAAGGAATCTTTCGGCAGAGAAAACGGACTATCATTTTGGTGCAATTTTTTTTATATTGTAAAATTTTTCTTAATTAACGATTTTTTTATGCTGTGTGCATATCTTCTCGTTCAATAATATATCGAAATTTCGGCGAAATGTGTGTCCTTTATCTCGCGAAATACTAATGGCGGAATCGAGTCTGCGGTATGTGAGCGAGTGCATTATCAACAGCAACTGCGTTAAACCGGCAAATGCATTTTGTATGTTTCGGTAGGATTGTATCCCATGTCGTGTCGCCGGATCGCTGTGATATTCTCCGTGATAAAATCTAAAAAATATTAGCGTTACAAATTGAGGAATAGAGAAAGAGAGAGAGAGACAGAGACAGAGAGACAGGGGGAGACAAAATCCTTTAATCTATGAATCAATAACGGTTTGATGTAATCATCATCTCGGTGTAAGCTATAGAATCTCTAAGTAAAGTTATAACGCGTAATGAATAAAAATAATATGTATCAAGAAAATAATTTTCTCAATTAATTAATCGACGAATCTGTTTCTACGCAGATGCATACATGTAATCGCAATTTATTATTATTATTAAGAACCACATTATAACTTTTGTTGCGTTTGATTGCATCTCATAAATTATATGATACTAACGATAATTGCAGCACGTGAATTGGAACGTGTGACGACATAGCCAGTGATGCTCATTATCACGATAAGTACCTGATGTAACGTAATCAATTCCCGAGAGTACCGATGAGAAACGCGCAGCGGCCAAATAGTTTTCGAAGTTACGAGACTAATTACTCTTACCTAAGACCAGATTGTATGATAAAACGGATAACACGAGTGTTCATCCATGTACGTTGTATGCGCAACTTGTTAATCACTGATTATCGCAAAGAGAAAGAACTTATAATACCGTAAAAACCACTGAACAGATATAAATTTCCTTCTTATACAACTTTAATTGTAAAAAGTATCGAAAAATGTTAACGAATTATTGGTATAATTATTTTTGCTCCGTGGAAATAATTATTTTCTCAAAAAAAGAAAGAGACAAGAAATGTAGCTTAATTGATTTTATCATCACTCGATGTTAAAAATTGTGAGATATGCGTCCTGTTTACTAAATCGCCGGCGTCCATTCGTCGAAGTTTCGACCAAATTGGAAAATCGCGAGACGTGATTTCACGCCGGCGACGTGTGTCAGGTTGCGCAAACGTGACTCGCATTTAATCACACGCGCCTGTCGTTTTATATAACGCGCCTGCGAGATGCACATGGATGCATCAACTTCGAAGATGTTATAAATAAATCAGAAGATCGGAAGATTGCAATAATACGAGCGTTCTCGAAGCGGCACAAAAAGATTCGATAAAAAAGAAGAACTCACCGGCGACGAGTCCGAAGGTTGATCCTGTCCGCGAAGTGCATCGGTTGCGATTCGAAGTTATCCTTGGGGTGCATTGCACTTTGAAAATCCAATCCTATGCTGGCGGCACTCGAGCTGCCGAATCGGCACGCGTTTTGGATTCGTTGGCACACGAATCGACGTAAATCTTCACCGTCGATGCACTCCCGAATTCGCAGCCCGAACTTTGTCGCGTTCGCTCGGCGAATTGTATGACAGATAGCGAGTGACGCACGTTGCCAGGTTGCTGTCACGCCTCGGGCTTCTACGGCGGTGCAACATCGTAGGCAGCAGGTGCCAGGTAAGGAACTAGGAATCCAGGTGCCCTTGCTGCCGGCAACGTCATTACGCGGCCGCGACTCGCTTTCGCAATTTGCGCGGCGCGCTTCAGCGATGTGCGCAGTCGCGCGCCATTATACGGGGTGTCGAGTAAAGAACCGAACTCTTGATGTATATCTAGCAAAAAAGAGAGAGAGAGAAAAGTTAAACCTCGTAATACTAGTCGGAGACATAACTCGATAAAGTTTACATCGCAATAAAAAGATAGAGATATAAAAGAAAGTTGAATTGGTTATACTTAGTTTTCTAAGCATGCATGCTTTAATATCGAAGTCTATTTGAAATGAAGCATGCACGAGTAAAGCATTTCAATCATCACAACATAACCGTTTATCATCAAACATTGATTAAATCTTTCTTGCGTTTTCCTTAGACGAATATATTTAACATTCATACCTTGGATTCTTCTACCTTTGAGTTTCTTTTCGACTTGGAATTCTGCCACTCGGTCATTCCCGCGTCGTTTCTCGCGCATCGAGATGTCAAGCCATAGACATATAACGATAGGAGAACGGAATGCCACAGCACGATATAATACACTACTCTCATTAAACTCAACATTATAAAGATGAGCATAATCAATGAGGGAAATTTGAAATGACGAAGAGTGCGCCACCGTCCGCGTGCCTCTCGCCTCGCGCATGACCACGATCAACCTTGCGCGGCGACAGCGGCGGCGGCTGATCGCCGCTAATTATCAATGGCGCGATGACGCGACGCCGTACTACAAATGGCGGGCAAAGAAACAGCTGTTTATGTCACCGCTGGCTCGACATCTAGCGGAGCGCGGGCGCGATCGGGCACGCGTCGGCGACGACGTCGACGTAGGGTACGCCGTGGCGAGGAGACGCGTAGACGAGGAATAAGGAGGAGAACCGAGGCGGTGGTGCTCGCTGGTGAACCGTCCAAGAGGAACATGGCCGCCGGATGCTGCGGCGCGAAGAAGCAGAGGCTGGGCGTCGGCGGCGTCGGCGGCGGCGGCGCGACGCCGAGCCTGTCATCGTGTGACAGCACCGTTATACGACACGGCGTGCCTCACCCGAGGAAGCCCACGACGATCGCCCAACCGGAGATGGGCTTCTTCTGCTTCGACGTGCTCTATTGCCAGCTGCATCAGTTGGATCCGCCGAAGGCGCCCAACTTCAGCAACGAAGCGTTGTGAGTAGCTCTCGCTTTCGATGTATATGTGTCTTTCTCTCTCTCTCTATCTCTCTGTCTCCATCTTTGTCCGTCTCGTCTCGTGCATCGCGTCAGCTGTTATCTCCGTTTATCTCCGATGAGCCGCGCTGCGCTTCGCGTCACGAGGATGCGACTTTTGAGATTAAATTTCGAAATTAGAGAAAAAGGGACGGACGTAATCTTTACGCTAACTACATGGCAGATTTTTATATGTATATGTCTATATTATACTTCGAATTCTTCAGGCTTTTATTTTCGATATTTGACATTCGTCGAGAAGTCTATTCGTTACAGAACAATCGCATTATTCGCGCATTTATTTGAGTCTCGCGTGCAATTTATCTGTCGATGCACATTGTATCGATTTCTCGAATTCTTCTATAACGTTTAACGTTATGCCAACTAATGGGCGTTTTATAGCAAGCGATCAATGTATCACTTGCTGAATGTAAACAAGGATGAAATGATTCTCTATATCCTCTGTTTCGCTTGCTGAAAAACGCCCTGTACAGGTCAATGAGGCTAACGAAGCATATTTGTTATTATTATATCTACAGAAATGTTGTTAATAAAAATTGCTATATTTTATCGTACACGTTCTTTTATTATGTTATTAATTTCATCATCTCGAAAGAATTTATGATGAAAAATAAATCCAAAAATTACTATTATTCAGTAATTGTATATATATATATTTTTTTTAATTATTTCTTTTATATATAAAGCGGCGTCTACAATGAGATTTTAAGGAGACTTAAGGCGTAAGATTTAAGAAATTGACCAATCATAATCGAATATTCTCTTAATTCTCGACTGTGATTGGTCAATTTCTTAAGTCTTACGTCTTAAGTCGCCTTAAAATCTCATTGTAGACGACGCTTTAGTTTCTAATGATTTCAACTTTGGCCAAATACAAAGGAATATCGATATACTCTAACTTATTTTACTTATTTCCTTTCCATCCAATGTTTGTTGTCTGATAAGAAATAATGTGTCTAAATATGAAATTTTTAATATAAGTATGTCTTTTCAGCCCTTTATTTGTGACATGGACAATAGGAAAAGATATGAGATTACGGGGTTGTATCGGTACTTTTAATGCGATGCATTTACATGCCGGTCTACGCGAATATGCTGCAACTAGGTGAGACAATGCTCACATTAAATATATAACATAATTAACAAAAATAAATATATAATATAATAGATATAATTTATATATATATAAAAGATTTAGAGTGTATGTATATATATCAGAATTTAGTATAATACGTTATATTTAAAATTATGAAATAATAATCACGGTTTTTTACCTTTACATACGTTTTATCTGTGTTTTAAAGTGCATTCAAAGACTCTCGTTTTAATCCCATAACTCAAGACGAGCTGCCACGCTTGCACGTAAGCGTGTCTATTTTGCGGCATTTTGAGGACGGAATCGATTATTTAGATTGGGAAGTGGGCGTGCATGGAATTCGCATAGAGTTTCACAATGAGAAGGGTAATAAGCGAACGGCTACTTATTTGCCCAGTGTAGCTATGGAGCAAGGTGCGTATCCGTTAAAATATAGAACAGGTTTTAGAAATTTTCGAGACTATCTTTGCATTAAAAAATTATATTCAATTCGATATTCAGGATGGGACCAGATACAAACAATAGACTCTCTGCTACACAAAGGCGGCTTCAAGGGTCTAGTCACACCCGATATCCGTCGTAGTCTGAAACTGACTCGTTATCAGAGCGAGGAAGTCACCGTGAGCTATCAAGATTATATGACGCATTGTCACAATCGAAGATGCTAGCAGATCGCCTGGGGTCCTAGTCAGGGGCCCCCGCTTCAACGATCCGCTGAAGCTCGTTATAACAACGCGCATACAGTCAATTCGTCCCATTCGCAAAATGATAACATTCGATATAATAATTCCTTCGCATCCGGTCGGCAGCACTCGCAGATTGTGACACAGTCTAATCGTTCGACGTTTATACATCCGTTACCCTTACCTCCAATTTCCCCGGTTATAGCACCGGTACGCGATAGTCCATCCTTCTGGTGGGATAACGCAGGTCCGTCCTATCCGCCTGCGCCATTTTACCCTCGACCACCACATCGTTTTTCAACGCAGGAAAACACGGAACGTGCGGTACGTAAACGTAAATGACATTGGAAACGGTTGTTCCTCGCGATTTTCCACTGTTTAAAGTGGTGCGTATTTTTATGTCTCAGTATACACAGCCTCCCGTTTATGATACCACACGCTCCGTCTTGAGAATAATAACTTCATATATGATGGCACCGCTTAATTCATTGCTGTACTGATGTTGGGATTATAAGTAATAATATGCTGATTATTCGCGATATTAATATGTATCACATGGTGTTTATTTGCAATTTGAAAAATTAATTAAAAAAAATTATGCTCATACACACATTGTAGGTTTTAAATATTTTTAAATGTTATATTAATATAATTTTTAAAATGTCTAAAACTCTCGAAATTTATCAATAGATAAACAAAAAATTTTAAATATATCTTTTAATTTCTCATAAATATACTTTTTTCAATTATTTTTTCATAATAGCAATTAGCGCTGCCAGCATATTATAAAGATTTTGTTTTTTTTTTGTATATTTGTTTTATAATATAATTATTATATTTTATAAATATAAGAATGATAATGGGCACTTGTATAGGACAGTGAGTAAGTTTAAAATTCACTGCCTGCTTTACAAGATTTAATGTACAAACAGATGTCGGATTATTCCATTTTTGTATAATATGTATGACATGAAATATTCTTAGATATATATCAAGTGAAAATTGAAGAAAAATTTAAAGTTTTTGATAGAAATGTAATTTCTCTCTGTTTTAATATATATTTCTCGCTAATATATATATATATTTTATTCGTATTTTAGCGTGAGCTTTTTTGCATCGCGCGATAGAAAGATTTTCGCCTTAAATTACATCAATTATATATTTAATCACATAAAACAATAAACTTGACAAAGAAGTGACATCATCTGCAATTGATGATTTAGTTAGGAAAATATAAAACAAAGCATATATATAACACAGTAGAAAATATATATAAATATAAATAAATATTAGATAAATATTAAATATAAGTTAGATGTAAGCGAAAAAATATAAAGATCTCATTGTGAGTTTAAGATTAAATGTTTTTTCGATTGATAAATCATAATTTTGTGGTAATTACGCTAATTACACTAATTATCTTATGGTGTGCATTAATTGTATATGTATATATCTATATATTTCATAAATTAATCGCATCTTACGCCATTATATGCTAATATTACAAACTAAATATGTGACTATAAAAATTATTAATATATTTTTCGGCATTAAAATTTGATTTTTCTCTTAAACTGCCAGCTATTTTCAATAGCGGGCTTTAAACACTGCCAATTTTTATTCGCGCGCTCTATTATCTTTTATACTATAGTGAACTTCGTTAAAAATAAATAAAAACTGTTATTGTATCTTTATTATATTATATCTATGCTATTCATATTGGTTCGCGTCATTATTTATTGTATAGTCTTTGCATCGATAATAATTAGTGAGTTCCTGAAAAAGATCTTGCCTTCTGAGTCTCGGCATAAACGTCCAATTAACTGCCATGCATACCTCATTCATGTATGCGCTCATTTGGCCTATGGGACTCTATTTATGTAACGATTTATGCATATATGACTTTTATAATTAAAAACGAAAAATAATTCTAACTAATATTGTAATTATATTTTACGATATATATACTAATATATAAATTATATTCATGTTTATTGAATTTGATCTGTAAAATACAATAAAAATGCACTTACAAAGCAAATTTCTAATATTATTAATACAATTAAATAGCATTAAATATTAATTAAATTCAAATAATCATTGTATGATATAAATTTGCTGAATGAATTATTTTGTAAAATTGCCATAGAAATTTATATATACTTACATATTTCGTAATTGCACAGAGTAAACGTACAATGTTTGTGTGTATAATTTAGCCTAATCTCTTTTTCAATAATCAATAAAATGTAATGCAAAGTATTACATAAAAAAAATATTAATAATTTTCAAAACAGCTTACATATTTATAACTTAATTATAAATTATTATAAGTTAATTAAAGTTTAATTATAAATTATTATAATTTATTGTTATATATGATATCATTTTTTGCTCTAATATATTAGTACAATATTAATATGTAATTATACAAGGAAGCACATATATCTGTTTTGATTGCATATTAATAATGGAACGAAAATTACAAACCATTCTTTATTTTCATTCATAAGTCGGATGTAGCAAATTAAGGAATCACAAATATATGTATATATAAACTCGGTGATTTTATGTTAGAACACTACAGGCAACTTTTCACTGTAACAAAAAATAAAATAAAATTTTATATTATCATGAGAATTATTATAAAATCAATTTTCCTCCAAATATTGTTTCTCCTTTCTTCCTTTAAAGACTTTAATGTACATCTGTTTCGCATCTGTTACGCACGGAAAACGGACTCTTATCTCATTCGAATATAACGAGAGTACGAAAAGAGCGCAATTCAAAGAAAAATAAAAAAAATACATCTATATATAAATATATAAATAAATTAATATATATAATATATATTAATTCTAATCGCGCAAAAGAACAGCTGCGAGATGGCGCCGCGGTGTGACGCGCGCGAGTAGACGCAACCGGCGTCGCGACGCACAACACAGCCGGCCTGATCGCGTCGCGTCATAGATGGGCATATCGGCGGCAATCGCGGTGCTGGGTCGCACGCGTATCTCGTACACGAGCGTGAGAGCGCGTACACGGCAGACGCGTCATCGTCGAGATTGTACGCTCGGTGACAGTTTCCCACTTGTAGGCGGTCGACGGTCATCCTTTTTCCAGCGGTCGTCCGGCTGACACACGACGGGCGTCGACATGTTGCCGTGTTCCGGACGAGTCCTCGAACCGCGTATCGTTTCCGAGCCGCAATCGTTTCATTTCGCCCGACAAGTTGCGAATCCAGAGAAATTGTGCGTCTCGTCGCTCGTCGTTAACGACGCGATATTTGTGCGATCTTTGTTCGCTCGCGCAGACTTGCGTTGCGTTTCCGTGTACGACGTAGTTGGGTGCCGTTCTTCCACCCTCCTCAAAAACGGAAGGTGCGTGACAAAATCTCATCGGGTGCTCGCCGAAAGGCAGGATCTTTTATAGTTGCCGCGGTAAGTAGACTGTGCGGAAATCGAAAATTATACGAAAGAATCATATCACTGACATCCGTTGCTTTTACTCGTTACACTCTGATGATTTTCGTAAAAACGTTATGCTAGATAGACCAAAAGATACAATCATTTCGCATTTCTTTCATCAATAAGTAGTAATTTTTAAATTTGATCTTCATATTATGTAATTTACGAATGATAAACTTGAAGGGGAGATCAAAAATACATGACCCATATAATATAAAGAATTAAAGATTTAATTTTTTTTAATTCGATCAAATAAACGTTATTTATTGGCAGCGATTATGATATATACAGTAATTACTGAATCACAAAACTTGAATAAGGATTAAAATACTCTACATTTTTTTTAGAAGGGGCATATTTAATATACTTTCTTAAAAGTAAAAAAAACAACATGCATTGCATTGCATATAATACTTAGAATTTTAATAACTGCCTATTGTGTCGAAAAATAGATTGAGAAATTTATTCGCTCAAAATTCGACATAAAATTACTCTGATCAAATATTTTTTCAATAATTATGTAATTAGCAGTATAATAAAAATTTTAAAGTTTTTACGAATTTTAAAATGTTTCATGTTTGATTAGTCATGCGCTCAATATGCACACAATGTTATGTATGTCTTTGTATCAAGTACTTTCGCATTACGCGCATATTAACGTGTAATTAACATATTTTGATATTCGCATATAATATCTAATCTGTGAAAGTATTTCTCGATTAAATATAATTAATTTACAAACGATTAATAAATTTTGCATATAAGATCTCGCGTAAGAAAAAACGACGCACCACCAATCAATCTTTAATTCATTGTATACCGTATCATTTCTTATCACACAAAACGCATTTTTCACACTACAGTCATAAGAAATACATTGAGAGGTATTTACTACAAGCGGAGACTCGACTCGCGAGAGAATGAATGAACGTTGTTTTGATGTCGTCGTTTGCATCGACAGAGGGACGGGCGGAAAGGACGGCGAGGCGAAATGGCGGGCGATGAAACAGCTGTTTTGGCGCGCGCCGCGCCATCTGGCGGGGCGCGCGCGCGGCACGGCACGCTAGACGACGGCGGCGGCCGCGACGGACGAGACGAGACGAGACGAGACGAGACGAAACGAGAGTGAGAGACGCATACGCGGGTCGTAGACCGTTCGGGTCCGCAGTTCGGGTCGTGGTAGTCGACAACGACGACGGCTGAGAGAGAAACATGGCTGCCGGTTGTTGCGGTACGAAAAAGCAAAAGCTGAACAACAACCCCACGGGTGCACCGTGCAACGGCACAACGGTATTGTCGAACGGTACGCGTATACGTAATACGCCAATCGTGCAACCCGAGATGGGCTTCTACTGCTTCGATGTCCTCTACTGCCAACTGCACCAACTTGACCCACCAAAACCGCCCAACTTCAGCAACGAAGCATTGTGAGTGGAAAAACCACGCTGGGCTAGAGCTTACCTAGCACCTCTCCGTTACTTCTTCCCTGTCCCCGCTGTGCGTTGCGCCAATCGCATCTCTCTCGCGCTCGTGGCTTTCCCGTGGCTTGCGCGTCTTCCCCGCACCTCTTCCACCATTCCATTCTCTCCTTTGCTAAGGCGCCTTTTTTCTTTCGTTGCCTCTCGTCCTCTTTCTCCCGCCACCTACGCCAGCCTCTTTGTTGAAACCGCTCTCGCTTTTATGTTTTCGATCACTGTCGTTGCATTGGATGAAGAAGAGAAGGAGGAGAAAAGAAAGAAAGGCCACGAATACATTCGCAGGCTCCTCTTCGTCTATAAGATAAGATGCGCGTCTTGCGTCTTTTGACATCTTCCGCTCTGATTGTGAACTGTCAACCTCGTGCCGAGGTTATGCAGAATGCATTGTTTAGCTTCATTTATCTATATGTAAACGCTGGAAACTTTCTGCCTTTGTTTTACACGCGTTAACTCTCTCTTTCTTCGATTTGTAAGAAATAAAAATCAATTTTCATATTATGCTTTGTCCCTTCGTTCTATTTTGCTCCTAATTAAATATATATTTAAATGTATATATATTTTCTTAGGAATTATAAAAATATATAAGAATTGTAATTATTGATTAATTTAATTTAATTATTAATTAATATGGTATATTTTATGATATACTTCTATGTTTGTATTATATAATTATTTACATATAAAGATAACAGAAATTCTTTATTTAAAAAAGATTAGTTATTAGAGCTTTATATTGCTCACATATCTAAAGTTATATCAAACATTCGATAATATTCGTAAGCTTTTTTAAGAAACAAATCCATTAATGCATCGTCTTCTATGTGATTTATGATTATTCTATAATTAATACATTATTTTTCATCTTTTTAGTCCTCTGTTTGTAACATGGACTATTGGTAAAGATATGCGACTGCGTGGCTGTATTGGTACATTCAATGCCATGCACTTGCATGCAGGACTTAGGGAATATGCTACTACTAGGTAATATATCTTTTTATTTTTTAATTTAATTAGAATTATGGAATGTATTTTTAAATAATCAATTATATTTTTTATAGTGCTTTTAAAGATTCACGGTTCAATCCTATAACGCGAGAGGAACTACCACGCTTACATGTGAGTGTTTCTATCCTGCGGCATTTTGAAGATGGTGTGGATTACTTAGATTGGGAAATAGGAGTCCATGGGATTCGCATAGAGTTCCATAACGAAAAGGGCAATAAGAGAACTGCTACTTACTTACCTGATGTTGCAACTGAACAAGGTTTGTAAATATGTACATTATGTTAAATAAATTGTTGCTAGATTGGTCCATTGATCATTATGTTTTTTATATATATAATTTAATCTATCTCATTTAATGTCTTTTCTATAGGTTGGGACCAGATTCAAACAATAGATTCCCTACTACATAAGGGTGGTTATAAGGGCTTAGTCACACCAGATATTAGACGCAGCGTGAAATTGACTCGATACCAGAGCGAAAAGATTACTGTAAGCTATCAAGATTACATGACACATTGGCATAACCGAAGATGCTAGCAGCTGGCTTGGGGTCCTATTCAAGGGCCCCTACCTTGCCAAACTGCTGGCACATTTTGTTACAAAAATACTGTTGATACAGTTAATGCATCTTATCCACAATACAGTACTACTCAGTACAACTCCTTCATGGCCAATCAACAACATACATTAGTTATGGTTCAACCGAATCATCCCACATTCGTACATACACTTCCAATGCCACCAATTCCTTCAGTTGTGGTACCTATGCAGAATTATCCACCATTCTAATGGAATTATATGTATTGCATCCTTCAGTGCATATATTGTTATTCTTTACATAAACTTTTGTAAAGTAAAAAAATAAATTAAATTAAATGCATAAGAAAAAAATAACACTGAAGGCGGCTATTATGTACAATTTTCTATTGCTTGAATTATGGTGCCTATTTTATTTTTATTGTTCAATAGCATTTATTCTTTCTACCTCTTTCACGATTTCTGTAGTCCTTGTGCGATAATATTCTTCAGAGAACGAAAATGTACAATTTTGAGTATGGTGGCAATGTTCTTCCAAAATATTTGCTGTAAGCATAAATAATATTGGCTAGATATTCGTGTAAGATAGGGTCTTGTTCTCGTATTGTACAATTTTATGATTGTTAAATTGAAAATAATAAAAGTAATATTTGCGCGCGTGCGTGCAACGATGCAAGTTCAGTTTGCAATTTAACGCTTATCATTTAATACTACCAATCAATATAATGTAAATAGTAAGATTAGCTTTGCCATCATGCTAGGACTCATTAACTGGGAAACAAGTGATACAAAGAATTTCATAATAAAAACACAATGCTATCTCTATTATTAAAACTGACTATGTTAGTCCATCCATTAGTAAATTCATGCACAAATTCATTATTACTTGTTTATATTGCCCATGTTAAAAACAGATTTAAAGTGTCAGAATAGATATTTATACGAACAATAAAATATTTTGATTTTCTTAAAAATGGCCAAATAATAATTTCACATCAGAGTTTTTAAACAAATTCTTCAATTTCTGCAAAATAATATAGTGTGCTATCATATGCATACTATTGTTTAAAACTTAAAAGAAATTATTTTCTTAAAGTATAATTGTTAATTATTCATACTTAATATTTGACACAGTAATACTTAACGTCTATACATAATTTCTTTGCATTAATGGTATAAATAAAAATTTTTCTTTTGAAAACTTTTTTGTCGAGTTGCTGTTACTATCTCATATTAATTTATTTTTGCATGGATTTTTTGGTTTTTTTTGTTTTTAATGATGTATTCGGATTGTGTGTTGTTATTGGAATATAAAAGTGACATTAAATTAAATGACACATGTAAATGTTGTATAAATATTCAATGTTGCATATTTATACCATTCCTACAATGAAGTTTAAAGGCGTTTGAGAATTAATACGTTAGTTTAAAGTAGTTCAAAGTTTTATTACAGCAAAAGATTCTTTATACTATGTATAATAATTAAATGAGTAATTAAATACCATAATCATTTAATAAGTAATTATAATTAGATTATAATATTTTAATGAAATTTAATTTGAAAAAAATTACATAATTTGTGCTTTAATTGCTTCTAAATCAATAGATAAATATATTTGATGATCTATGGCATAGAACCTCTACTGTAAATAAACAATGGACTACATTATTAATAAAAGGAATATTAAGTACATATATAAAGTATAGATTTAAGATATATATTAACGAAAATGACGATCTCATTGTGATGTTAATTACTGTGCAAATCATGGTGATGATTCATGTTCATTATAGTATCAGATAAAATCTTTTTCCAACGCTTAAAAATTTTAAAATAATATTAAAATGCACAAAACATGATTATGTTATATTATTGCATAATTGGCATATCATTCAAGGTAAATAACACAAGATAGATATTTGAAGAAAAATAGCATGGAAAAAGGTGTACTAGAATATACATATGTGCATCTTAAATGTATGGTACTTTTAAGTAGCATTGTCACACAAAAATAGAAGTTTCAGGAATATTTTATATTAAACTATCATGCTTCTTAGATTCCACAGCTACGCGATAGCTGATTTCATTCACTGCCAACATAATCATTGTTGTAGATATACAAATCCTATTCTCAAAAGAATAAACAAATCAGGTTGTTGTACTTTGGTTGAATTGATGCCTTAGCATCTGGTGTTATCTTTTATATATTCTTATTGCATACACATATAGTTCCTGGGATCTCCTTGTTACTTGGGCCCTGTGTAACGTCCAGTAAACTGCCAGTAATATACTTAATTGTAGAATAGTTGGCAAAATCAAAATTGTGCTTATCAAATGCCCAAATTGACCTTAAAAACCTGATCACATAAAAGATAAAAAATCTTCTTCTGATTAAAACGTTTAGAAGATGTAACATAGGCATGCAAAATGGAGGTGCTATTGTACTATTTTCTTGAATACACGCTGAGATAGGAATTCATAAAGTTTGCAAATTTAATAATATAAAGTTCAAGTTTCAAATAGTTTGTTTAACATAATAAAAGATTAACATTAAACATAATTTAAATTAGAATTTTCATCTATATAGTTTAGAAATTTATGTGAAATATATCTCAGGATTTTCAAAATAAAAATCTACATCAGTAAATGAGAATATCGAATTTTCTATATCTTGAGCTTATAAAAAAAATAACATATTTAATGAGTTTATATATATAAATGTACACATTCGATTCGAGATATCGTAAACTTATATATCAATTAAATAAAAAAAAATTAACATTTGAAAAAATTTGTCTTGAATCAAAAAAGTTGTATATACCATAAATATTTAAAGCAGCGACATTTTAAACAATTTAAAAGCGTTTATTATTGTAATAAATCATGTGGTGCCTAGACACTAGATAATTTTAAAAAAAAGAAATATAATGTATAACTGCATATACAATTCTTATAGTAAAAATGAGAGCACACACATCGGTGTGAATGATTATAAATAGATATAACATTATGTCAGTGATGAAATAAAAATACGTTTTTATATTCTACACATTATTATTTTTTTATCCTTATAGTGTCATAAATCTAATAGAATAATTAAGTTAAAATAAGTGCGAGACTAATTGGACTTATTTTTAGAATGGAATAAAATTGGTCGTATTAGAGAAGAAAATGTTTCTTTAATTTATATATATATATTTTTTTACTATAATTATACGATAAAATATTGTACAAGTTTAAAGATTACTTGATGCATGTTTCTCATTTTTTTGTTGTTCTTCTATGTAATATTGTACATCCAATATATGAAGAAAAGATTTAATTTGTGAATGTGTTATAAAACCAGCTAATAGTACTTGAAGAGTAAAAATTGTTGCAAACATAGGTAGCATTGGTTGATAGACTGATGAAATAATTTTGAATGTTCTTTTTACATCAGTTATGAGTGGTACGTTAAATGTCCCACTTGTAAAAGCCATCTATGAAACAAACATAAAATAATGGCATAATAAATATAAATCTAGAAAACTTTTTATATGGAGAAAAATTAGCATCATATGAGAGTAATAGAACAAAAATAATTTATACTTACAGAGAAATTTGCGATTGGTACTAACATCAATGGAAAAAATATGCCAGTAAAAATTTGTGAGAAAACAGACCTGGTTTCCAGACATAAAGGGCAACGAACCTCTAATAATAACAGTTTATTCAAGACAAACTGAAACATATTTTGCGTTATTGCTTTTCCATTATGTACTAAGTTACTAAATATTTTTGCTTATTCAGTTTTTATTCGCAGATTGTACCTCTGAGTAACAAAGTCCTGTCATTGCAGTTGGAACTGCTGTAACACCAGCTATTGTAAAAATCGAACTATAATCTCGGAGCTTTAATTTCTTTCTGAATCGAAGATTGATGTAAAAACCGGTACATGCTGCTGCTGTGGCTAGAATAGGACGTCCATATAATAACGGCCATCTAAAACGAAATACTATTTTATATAAAATATATATATATATATATATATATATATATATATATATATAAAATAAATATATATATATATATATATATAAAATAAAAATATATATATATATATATATATAACGAAAGTTATAAATCGTAATAAAAAATCATCCAAAGCAAGTGCTTGGACTATTATTAGAAGAGTATGATCTGATAGAAAAGAAACAATGATAAGGTTATGTACACATCGCTTTGTGGTTTCCAGTTTGTATAAAATTTTGTTTGATGATTTAAAGCCTCATATTTTGTCAACATTATGGCATCTTTCGGTATATCATGTCGAATATATTGTTGTGCCCTTTCCATTTTTTCAGTTTTTTCAGACTAAAAACACTCGCGTGACAGTAGCCACACAGGTCGCATGTATTATGTACTATATGTACAATGAAACGAGCATGCAAGGTTTAAAGTTACGCAACAGATTTTGCTTTCATTCATTTTTTTATATTTTGCTTTTTTCTCTTTCTGTATATTTATTCCATTCTGAATATAAAAGGTGCAAAAGGATAAAATTAAAATTAAAAATCTAATTTTCTAACGTAAAAATATTATGGCATAAATTCTTTTTATTTCTTCCGATATTTGTTATTTCTCAGAGTTCTTTATTTTTTGGATAAATTCTCGGAGAACAATTATTATGTACACAAAAACAAAAATTTTTTATTAACTTTGATTCTCTGAGCGGAAAATTTCAATCGAAATTTTCTTCGCTTATGTTATTTTCTCGCCGAAATGCATTAAACATAATCGGTGATTATCGTCATATATGTATATAATATATTATTATTTTGTAATTATGTGTATCTCAACAGCCATGACATTCTCAGTCTTCTCTCTGATAATATATTTATTATTATTTCTACAATAATTTGATGCTATATTTCGATTATTTTTATTATTCGTTAAATTATTATTTTGCTAGTTTGACAGTATTTTAATATTTTAATATTACTTTTAATATTCAAGAATTTCATATATTTTAAACTAATTTATTACAATTTTTTTATCAATCTATTGATTTTTTTATTACCAATTATCGATAATAATAGATATTATCAAACGAAATATTTAATTTATTATTGAATGTTGTCACAAGGTGGCAGCAGTTAAGTATCTGATTAGTAGCGCCACGCTTAGTGGCGTTTGCAATTAATTGTCAAGTAAAAGTATTGTATTTGTGAGTGACCACGAAGAAAAGAACGTATTCTAATATCGAACAAGCTTTGCATAGCGACAATTATTCAGATTCAGATTCCCAGTTCACTCCATTATCTCGTATAAAAGGTATATATTTAATAATATCGAAATAATTTTGATATTTCGAATACGCTCGTTATATCAGTCTGGTTTGACATACTTGAAAATCTATATATTCAAATTTACTAACAAAGATCTCGCGTTTATTGTACAACTTAATATAACGCGGTTTGTTGTATTGATCACAAAATAACAAGTATAAATTCATATCGTTAAAATTGTTACACGTAGATATTTCTCGTTTTTATTTCCATTAATGCCAGTAGCTTATCGCGCCATATCGCAAAATCAATTGCCAACTTCAAATTATACATTCCTCTGATTGGCGAATTAGCATAGTGACCTTTAGCGTGCATTATTCAAACGTTCCAGGTGGAATTAAATAATTCAATCAACATAAATAATAATGTGTAACGTTTCCGCTGCTGTTCGTTCGAAAACGCAAAACGGGGTGCGCGAAAGCGCCGACTCGAGACGGTAAAAGTCGTCTCGATTATCGGACAGTGCCGGGGAACAATGAAATATCGACGGTGCACGAGGGGGTTGTTTGCGCGGTGAAGTAACGCGTGACGGACGGGCGCGCGAGCTTACGAACGGTGACGTCACGTGGCGGGCGACGGACCAATCGGAGTCGAGCCACCCCTGCCAGCCAGCCGGTTTTCCGGCTGCTAGACCAAGCGGGACGCCATATTGCCCGTGGCCGAGTGGTGGCGGCGGCCGCCTGTGTGTGTTTATATCGTCGTTACGCGGTTTTTCCACACGTTTCGCACGGGCTCGCCGCGTCGGATTCTCGCGAGTGACATTTCGAGCGGTGCGCGTGTCCGCGGACGCCGCGTGCGGAAAGGCCCGTCGTTTATCGTGACAACAGTGCGCGCGACATCGCTGTGCGATTCTTCCGCGGAAGCTCAGGCGCCCGAGTGATAGACCGCCGCGGACAGTCGTGCCTCGTCGTCGTCTTCGCGCCGCTGTTTTCGTTTCTGTGTTTTCCCGTCTCCTCCTCTCTCACTCTCTTTCTCTGTCTCTCCCCCAGTCGCCGTATTGGACCGTTCCAGAGTACCACTAAGCTCTGCACCTGCCAGTGCCGTGTTTTCGTCGTCGTTCATCCCCTGCGAGGCTACCTACCGAGAAGGATGCCAGTGCGTAAACAAGGTGGTAAGCTCGTACATGTCTTACGAATGTCAGCTGGTCGGCAGATGAATCATCTGTTTGTCCGTCATTCGAGAGCAAGATCGTGGGAATGCGTGTCGTGCGGGGAGGGGTGGCTGCGGCTTGTATGGGTCACTCGGTCAACTGTCATTCGGACTGACAGATCGCGCGCGTACTCCTCTCTTCCTTCCTTCTTATCGAAATGCGGTCGTCTCGAATCACGCTTTTGGGAATTTATGAGCGCGAAATCATTACCCGAGCGATTGTCGCATATGCGTTAATGCGATGATCAGGTGTTTCGAGTGTACGATCGTTTTTTTAGCTACTGCGCGCTAACTCTCGCGACCTTGAGTTCGCGCGCCGTAGTGATTCGAGCGATCGAAAATGACATTCGAGCTTTTCGACGCCTTGATGATCGCGCAAAACTCGTCGGAGCATTGGCCACGTGTAATGAACTCGCGACCCTTTTTCGGAGCGGAACGAGGGGTTAAAGAGGATAGCTCGGGGCTGCACGCGGTCTCTTAATCTTCTGTTTGACACGATATGCGATAAATTCGACACAGAGTCAGCACATTTGTACATATATCGTTGAACAAAGAATGTTGGTGAATACGTTAATGATGAATATTTTATGCGTCGCATATTTCTCGCTTTGATACGCATGGCAAAACTGCGTGTTCGCACGAATGCGGAAATTGTGCGACATCAAATCATAAGCTACGTATCACGTTGCGATCAAAATTGATTATTGTATTGTGCAGGATGTTTGAATTGAAATAAAATTGAAGGCAATTAACGTTTTTTATTTTTTGTAGAAATGTTATTATAAAAAAATATATCTCGTGCTGCTCATTAAATATAGTTACATATAATTTACATGTAACAATACGAGAATAATATTTCAGATTCAATAAATTAATTTCACTTTTTACGTTATATTATATTCACACACAAAAATATTATAAATTTATTTTCTCTATTTTTTTATTTTGATATATTTTGTTAAAGCTTTTCCTTATTCAAAAACTCCATGAGAGAATAATAGTAGTATCTATCGTGATAGATGCAATCGCATTTTAAATTAAATATAATTTTTTTTTTATTATAATCTCTAATTTTATTATAATCTTCTTTTATTTTTAAATTACATAAGCTCCATGGAAGAAAGATGAATATTGTTCTCGGACTATTCGATTCTCGCACGTGGACCACGGAGACATCGGAAGTAAGCGAGCCCGTCTGCTTATACGCAATTTTCTTCGATGTAGGCCAGTCTGGCTGTATGTTGCAATAATCGTGCCGTCGTCTCGGCATAAGCCAGTGTTTGAACAGGGGCCAAGAAAACGCAATAATTTCGGCTCTAGGCGAGGCTCTTTTGCCACGGTTATGCGACGAGTAACTCACGGCCATGGGCTCGGTCACCAGCGTACCGACGATTTTGCTCTCGAAATTACACCGCACTCTTGGTCGCCTCGCTTTTAAGTGACGGCGTATTTCAAGTGAACGTTCTCTAGAGCTAACCTTGCTCTATAATAACAAGATATTTCAAATTTCGTCGCCCTGTCATCTCGTGGAATTTAGAATTTAGAATTGTTTAGAATTTGACTTATTATACGCAATTCAAGATAATATTTATTGCATTATTTTATATAAATTTATGTATATCGATACGCATAAATCTTGCATTGGTTATGCGAAATGAAATTTGAAATATGAAATTTGAATACGAGATTATATTTTGTGCGTTAAATAATTTTAAAATATTTTAAACATCTAAATATTTTTTAAAAAATATTATCGCACTGAAATGATGAATATATTTATTTCGTTTATATTGTTTTTTGAAATTAAGTGAAATTTTTTCGCTGACTGTAAGAAGATGACAATATTTTTTTACATTTTTTTAAATTTTTGACAAATTTATAAAAGTATCTTTGAAATTATGTTCCAATACGTTTCTCTATTAAAAGCAGCATGACTTTATTTTATTTCAAATTTAATATCTAAACATAATTCACTTTAGCCGTTTAATTAGAATTTTGTAGTGACAATATGTATGGGTGTTTGTTTAAAATCGCGTCGTGTCGTGATGGCGCATAAAGTTTAAGTGTAATTTAAACTTGTCGTTTGATTTAAATTTAACTCCTCTTTTAAAACGCGAGAACGCGAACGATCGCGAAATCTCGAAAGTTGCCGGAATATTTAACATTGAATCAATCTTTAATTACGCTATCGTCGAGAAATCGATCGTACTACAATGGGGATGGGTTTCTTTAAGTAGATTCTCGAGAAGTCGGAAGCGAAACTTTAGAATTCGCTTGAAGCTGATTGTATTAAAAATGAATTACTTTTAATATTTTAAAATTAGAGTCTTTATAAAATTTACTCCTTTAATGATATTTTTTACAATATTTTTTTATCATTAAGAAATGAATTTATTATATAGGAGGTAGAAATTGAAATATGTATATCAGTCGAGTATTAATATTTTCAAGCATTTTGGTGCATTTGTTAAATTAACAATTATTATCATTATTAAAATATAAGAAAAGCATAACTAATTGAAACTTTAGGATGTCATGGATAGTGTGTAATTTTTGAGATTATGCGGATCTAAGGTTATATGTAATTCTAGAATGCCACGTGTTCGTGAGCGTGGTGCAGCAGCGCGTCAAATAGTCTCGCATGAAAAATCGATATCTCGGAGTTCAAATATCCCAGCTGTGCTCCTGGGGTGGGGAGGGGCAGGGGGCATATTTGCAGCGTCTTTTATAAACGTACAAATTATATCGTTGAAATTTAAAAATTCTTGTAAAAAAATAACATTGCTGAGACTAGCGATAACATAAGAAAATACGTTGTGTAGGGAATAACGATTGTATGCACGTGCTGCGCGGAAACGAGGTAGAGGTAAAGGTAACGTATTGATTCTTTTTAGCTATGAACTTCTGCGTATGTAGGCCACGGTGGATGTATCCAGAAGGGCATTCGGGCGTAAATAGCGTTAACGCTAAAATAGACACATTCATTGCTAAAACGATCGTATGACTCCGACAAGTCGCAGATATTTTTTTTTCTATGGAAGACTCGTTATTAACGTGGGAAAATTAACAAAACGCTTTTACATTGACGTTCAGTCATCAAATATCATCAAATATTATCAATCATTAAATAAAACTTTTAGGAAATTATACATACACACATATACTTATATATGTATTAATTATATATATTAATTATATATATTTATATATATATATATATATATATATATATATATAAAATTTATATTTCATAATAATGTTTTGCATTTTTCAATTGTATGTTATTTAGAAATATTACAATATTTGTACGCAAAAATATATATAATATTGTACATTGTTCTTATGTTTCTGATAATTATATTCATAGATCATAGATCATTCTGTAAACATTTAATTTATTGTATCTTCGATTACTTACATTAATCAAATATCACGGTGCGCTTCTAATTTGTAAGATGAAACGTGCGACAAGGTCGGAGCAACGATAGTTTTCAATTTCTGCAGTGTATGCGCTTTCGTAGACGAACTCACGAAGACGTGAAGAGATAGAAATACGGTCGCGGATGGTTTATGGCTCGGTAGTTCGCTTAGCTTGACAAGCTACGAGTCTTATATGTTCGCTCGCATACATGTGTACAGTGCAAATATTCAGATACAGTATACAATTGCACGTGATCTTCCACTTCTTTATCTTAATTGGATATCGTATGTTATTTCATACTTTATCGCGAAATATATATTGGAATTTTTTACAAAGATATGCTAAATTGTAAATCTTGGTTTACTTTATCATGATAGCAATTATAAATAATATGATAGTGATTCACTATATTATTTATAACTGCTGTCATGCTGCTTGATTAATGAAACATTTCATTAATCGTCATATCAAAACCATATATGATTATCACTATCATTTGATATAAAATTGATAGACTCAAAATTAAAGTTTAAAAATTTAAATTTCACATGTATTATTTAAAATTAAAAGAGATATTGTCTAAATAGAATTTTTAAAACCTAATCGAATAAAAGGGATTACGCTGTTATAAAAATATACTCTTTTTTGCTTTAAAATATAAATAAACGTTTTCAATAAATTTTTGCGGATCGTGAAATGATTTCGAGCGAATAAAATTCGAATTCGATCGATGTCTGAAATATCGTAGCTCCCGTTAGCAGAGATCTGTAGGCGTTTTATGTACAAGCTCTTTGTTCTCACACAATGTAATACTTTATCTTGTACATGCACGGCAAATACACGCTCGAGTATGATAGAAGATGCGGCAATGAAGGACGAAAGAGGAGATGACATGCCTGATAATGAGAGCAATGAATGGGAAGTGGGGCAAGTGCTTATGTGCTCTTCCCAGAGCAGAGATGTGTTTGCCGTTTCACACAAGAGCTTCGATATTTACTTATGTACGTTACATGCAGGTGTGAGTCTTCGGTAGCCTGGTTTGTCTCTAGCTATTGGCCATCGTATTTTATAGCGCAATCTTGTGTCCAGAAAAAAGTTTGTTACTTTCAGTTTGAATATTTTTGCGCAAAGTCTTCAAACTGCACGATGTGCAATCGAACATTTTCGTTGCAGTTGCCATTTACTACAATAACGTTATCGCGAAATGTAACACTTATTTGTATGATAGAAAAAATAAGTCATATTATTTATTAAGCATATTTACATATTAAAAAATTCATATATGTTTTTATAATCTAACGTCTTCAAATTTTTTGAAAGAGTATTTTATCTCATATGGAAATTTTTTTAAGCTTTACTCTCGCGTTTGTTTTGTTTATTTATTAATTGAATTTTGCCTTTAACATTTGATATTTTGAAATATTTTTTGAAAAAATAATTTCACGTATATTTGTTACATGATAATGGAAATTAATAGTCCGAAAAAATAGTTTTAGAAATATTATTTTTCAGGAAAAAAGTAGTCAAAATAAAAGAAATTT